AAAGATAACTCCAAAATCAAACAACTGCTGCTTTGAAAAGTATGCTTGGATAAACAAAGCAATGGACACAGATCAAGACAGAAAAGTTGGCTGGATGTTGGAGTCGACGGGCCATATGACACGAAATACTGACATTAAAGAACGAAGAAGATTGTGGTTAATAATGGGTGTTTTTATAATGTGACGTCACCGGTTGAACATTTAGCAGACATATTGTGGACATTTGGCAGACATATAGTGGACATTTCTGGAGGATATCAAATAACAGACCAGCCAGTCAACCTCAAACAACAAGCCAACGGTTGTCCTTGACCTACATTGACCACACAAACAACAAACACCATTGGGGACCTTGACCTAGATTGACCACACAAACAACAAACACCATTGGGGACCTTGACCTAGATTGACCACACAAACAACAAACACCATTGGGGACCTTGACCTAGATTGACCACACAAACAACAAACACCATTGGGGACCATGACCTAGATTGACCACACAAACAACAAACACCATTGGGGACCATGACCTAGATTGACCACACAAACAACAAACACCATTGGGGACCATGACCTAGATTGGCCAAATGTCACAATATGACAAGTCAGATGCCAACTGGGCCTCGCTGTTTTAAATGTTAGGCAGCGCCGATGTTGACATTTCGACCAATCAAAGCATGAATATTGTACCACGTGATGACCGCCTGCCGCATGTGGGGGTCACGTGATTCAGTGTTCCGCCACGTAGAGATGGCAATATCTGATGTGGTGTTTTTGTTACCATTCAAATATGCATTGTTGCGCTTTAATTAATTCAGGTTTTAATGGAAATTGTTAGGTGTTTTTTTAAATAAACTGCTGGTTCCAATTATGTTTCTATTTTAATCAAATGGAAGATTTGTTAAGAATCGTATTGATTTTTTAAAATCTAGATTGAGGTTAGAAGTTAACCACTGTGGTAGAAGTTAACCAGTGTGGTAGAAGTTAACCACTGTGGTTGAAGTTAACCACTGTGGTAGAAGTTAACCACTGTGGTAGAAGTTTACCACTGTGGGTTTAGCCGGGTCGACTGACCAGCGATAGGTTTTAGTCTCTTGATGTAGAAGGGGTCAACACCCGACCTGTTGACTGTTTGAAATGTTATAGATGTCACACACTTCATACACACAGCACGTGTGTTATAACACACATCTGTGTGACTAGGATTTAAAACTCCTCGGTCCTAAAGTATAGGACAATGTCCTCACTCAGAAAATCCCTATTTTATGTCGCAATGTTCGTAGAAACATGTTCAGGTCACCCCACAACGCCACCCCACAAAGACACCACACAACGACACCACACAACATCACCCCAAAAAGTCACCCAACAACCAAACTCTTTCAGTTTGTGTCAAATGTTTATAGTATGCTAATTGCTTCTATTCTAGGATCTTTGACAACTACTTATTCGGCATTGTCGAGTCAGTTAAATTCGTGGTTGATGAACCAAAAAGTCTCTAGTTCGAACCCTCGTGTAGATGAGGCTCGATAGCTGTGGATGCGACAAAATCAAGGAGAGACAACGGCTACCTTGTAGTTCACTCTTAGATAGGCAACGTTATGGAGGCTAATTCATAAAGAAAAGATGGAGCCAGCGGTTTGGATGGTGCATAACATGTTGACACGTAATACTTTATTGTGTTCAAGGGAATCCCTTCCATATAACATGTTGACACGTAATACTTTATTGTGTTCAAGGGAATCCCTTCCATATAACATGTTGACACGTAATACTTTATTGTGTTCAAGGGAATCCCTTCCATATAACATGTTGACACGTAATACTTTATTGTGTTCAAGGGAATCCCTTCCATATAACATGTTGACACGTAATACTTTATTGTGTTCAAGGGAATCCCTTCCATATAACATGTTGACACGTAATACTTTATTGTGTTCAAGGGAATCCCTTCCATATAACATGTTGACACGTAATACTTTATTGTGTTCAAGGGAATCCCTTCCATATAACATGTTGACACGTAATACTTTATTGTGTTCAAGGGAATAACTTCCTACATTACAATTGAGAACGAAGAAGAAGAACTACTTCTCACCAATAACTGTCTGTGCACTACGTATTTGTTAATCGTGCTGCTAGATATCACTACAATTGCTCCTACTTAAAAACCTGAATGACCTACCTTTGACCTTCTGAAGGTCAAGAAAGAGCTCCCCCAGGATGAGGGCGCACTCCGTGACGCAGAAGAGGGCGACAGTGAGGAGGGTGTACTTGTTCTTAAGGACCTTCTCCCCGTTTCTCCTCCATCTGTAGAGTAAGAGAAACACTTTATTGTCCTCATTCAGGGCCCTTGGGAAAAACAGAGAAGAGTGGGGGGAGGGCAGATAAAGGTTCATTAACACTGGGCTGTTGATTGGTTTGTGTGGGGTGGTATGTCATGTCACTTCACTAAACGGCTCTAATCTAAGGTGTCAGTGACGTTTGTGTGGGGTGGTATGTCATGTCACTTCAATAATAAGCTTTAATCTAAGGTGTCAGTGACGTTTGTGTGGGGTGGTATGTCATGTCACTTCACTAAACGGCTCTAATACTGAACACTGTGTAAACCTTTTAAATTCTTAGTGCCCCCAGACCCACCAACATTCCAAGACCCATCAAAACCCTTAAGACCCAGACCAACCCTCTCTTTAAAGATGAAATATGTAGCCATTGAAACCCAACCCATAACTACCGTAGGTAACTTCAAAACCTGCTGAGTCCTTGTCTTAATGCCCAGTGACCAACAATTAATAATTAATAGCCCCTCCACCCGCTTTCATTAATTAATGATGATTTAATGAGTACAATTTCATTAATGAATGTGTCAGTCTCTCAGAGATACTTGTTTACCTGTCTGAAAATGGGTCAAATGTAAATAACGGCAATTTATTATTAAAAACGTAATTAAGCGTCTCACTTATAAAAGACGTTTAAAATTTATGATTATGATTTTAGACACCGACGTCTGAATAAATTAAACGTTAACACAAAACGTAACCGGTGTTCTCTTAGCCATCTGGTTCTCACGCTGAGATCGGTTTACACAGACCAAATCCTGTATATATATATATATATATATATATATATATATATATATATATATATATATATATATATATATATATATATAATGTATATTTATATATGTGTGTAGTCTGTTAAATGTATATATAACGGCCCCTTATGTATTGCTCTCCCAAAAACCTATTGATTTACAGCTGATTTAGTTTCCTTTGAAAAATTAGCAAACACGTGCAACTGTTTCAATGTAAGTTGGTCCATGGCAACCCATACATTCAAAAAATGTGTGGCGCATGTTTTAATACACGCCCACACATTCAACAACCCACACATTCAGCAACTCACACAACCACACACACAACCACACACAAGATGTATCAGATAACAAAGGACTGTGTCAATATTTAATGACTGAGGAAATTACGTTAATGCCATGATGTCAAACATAAAACTGAATTTGTTTCCTTTCACGTTACAAAAATCTAGTAAAAAGAGGGAATGATAATATAAACAAACGGAGCCGTGAGGTCGAAAGTTAGAGCACTAGGGTGAGGCCTGAATGGCTGTATACACGCAGTGAAAGCATATGGCAACTACACGCATGGTTCTGTGATGGCTAAGCTACCCCTGATTTTGTAGTAGCTGAAATATATGTCATGCCATATGGAAAGTCAGATGTCATGACATATGTCAAGTCAGATGTCATGACATATGTCAAGTCAGATGTCATGACATATGTCAAGTCAGATCTCATGTAAGATGTCATGTCCAATGCGATGTTAAATGGCATGTCAAATATCATGTCAGATATGACATCTGATTTAGCAAATATCATGACACTGCTATGTGTACAGAATGTTATATGATTGTTATGTGTATACAGCGTGTTGTATCAGTTCCACATGTGTACATTATGTTATTGTTGCTTGGCCAGTTTTCCCAGTTTCATTGCCCAACTATGATTGTAAACAATGTAAAGGTAATTAGAGTAATGTCCCCTGTCGACGATGTGGGGGGGGGGTTGGACGACAGACCTAATTATTAATTGAACCACAGCATCTAGACGTGACGGCACCAGCATCTAGACGTGACGGCACCAGCATCTAGACGTGACGGCACCAAACTGACGGCAACAAGCTAACGACAACAGGATCTAGATCTGACGGCAACAGGATCTAGATCTGACGGCAACAGGATCTAGATCTGACGGCAACAGGATCTAGATCTGACGGCAACAAGCTGACGGCAACAGGATCTAGATCTGAGGGCAACAAGCTCTAGGCAGGATCTAGATCTGACGGCAACATGCTCTAGGCAACAGGATCTAGATCTGACGGCAACATGCTGACGGCAACAGGATCTAGATCTGACGGCAACATGCTGACGGCAACAGGATCTAGATCTGACGGCAACAGGCTCTAGGCAACAGGATCTAGATCTGACGGCAACATGCTGAAGGCAACAGGATCTAGATCTGACGGCAACATGCTGACGGCAACAGGATCTAGATCTGACGGCAACATGCTGACGGCAACAGGATCTAGATCTGACGGCGACATGCTGACGGCAACAGGCTCTAGGAAACAAGCTGACGGCAACAAGCTGACGGCAACAGGATCTAGATCTGACGGCAACAGGATCTAGATCCGAAGGCAACAATCTGACGGCAACATGATCTTGATCTGACGGCAACATGCTGACGGCAACAGGATCTAGATCTGACGGCAACATGCTGACGGCAACAGGATCTAGATCTGACGACAACATGCTGACGGCAACAGGATCTAGATCTGACGGCAACATGCTGACGGCAACAGGATCTAGATCTGACGGCAACAAGCTGAGGGCAACAGAATCTAGATCTGACGGCAACATGCTGACGGCAACAGGATCTAGATCTGACGGCAACATGCTGACGGCAACAGGATCTAGATCTGACGGCAACATGCTGACGGCAACAGGATCTATATCTAACGGCAACAATCTGACGGCAACAGGATCTAGATCTAACGGCAACATGCTGACGGCAACAGGATCTAGATCTAACGGCAACAATCTGACGGCAACAGGATCTAGATCTGACGGCAAAAAGCTGACGGCAACAGGATCTAGATCTGACGGCAACAAGCTGACGGCAACAAGTTGACGGCAACAGGCTCTAGGCAACAAGTTGACGGCAACAAGATCTAAATTTGACGGCAACAGGCTCTAGGCAAAAAGCTTTTTTAAACGCGATCCGAACATCATTCACCTGCTCACCATCGTGGGAGGCTGTATGTGTGTATGTGTGTGTGTATGTGTATGTTTGTGTTCGTGAGTCGAGGCAACATGCTGACGGCAACAGGATCTAGATCTGACGACAACATGCTGAAGGCAACAGGATCTAGATCTGACGGCAACATGCTGACGGCAACAGGATCTAGATCTGACGGCAACAAGCTGAGGGCAACAGAATCTAGATCTGACGGCAACATGCTGACGGCAACAGGATCTAGATCTGACGGCAACATGCTGACGGCAACAGGATCTAGATCTGACGGCAACATGCTGACGGCAACAGGATCTATATCTAACGGCAACAATCTGACGGCAACAGGATCTAGATCTAACGGCAACATGCTGACGGCAACAGGATCTAGATCTAACGGCAACAATCTGACGGCAACAGGATCTAGATCTGACGGCAAAAAGCTGACGGCAACAGGATCTAGATCTGACGGCAACAAGCTGACGGCAACAAGTTGACGGCAACAGGCTCTAGGCAACAAGTTGACGGCAACAAGATCTAAATTTGACGGCAACAGGCTCTAGGCAAAAAGCTTTTTTAAACGCGATCCGAACATCATTCACCTGCTCACCATCGTGGGAGGCTGTATGTGTGTATGTGTGTGTGTATGTGTATGTTTGTGTTCGTGAGTCGAGGCAAGGTTTAACATAACAATCGTCGTCAAGTCTAGCAACTATTTCGACGATTGAGGGCTAGTGCCTGAAGGAGGTGTTGGATTGAGATGCTGTTTTTGTACCCCGTGTCTGGGGGGGGGGGGGGGGTGTTGTGTCTAGATGTCAGGTTTATTTTCTCCCTCGTCACGTGACTGCCGGCCCATTAAGGACTGACCTTAACCTAATCTGCATAAGCCATCACGTGATCAATCATGCCGCCCGGATCTGTCCAACTTGCAGGGATTATCGTTCCTGAATTTGTTTTTTTCCTAAATCTGGTAGGCGGGCCCGTGTTCATAAACAGGGGTGGGGCGGGGGGGGGGGGGGGGGTCTATGACGTCATCGATATAGCGCGGGTTAGGGGCGCAAGCTAAATATGGCCGGGAGTGAGGGCGCCATCATAGTGGGCTGGTTATGACGTCATCTAAATGATTTGGGGGTAAGAACGTTAGCATGTTCTGGCGTGGGCGTGGTGGGAGGGGGGGGGGTCGGTTAGGGCGCCGCCGTTAGGGAGCCGGGTGTTGACTGCACTCGAGTTGAACGATCTAGAAATGTCTTCCGTCTTTCCGAGTGTTAAGTTAAACTCGTGGCCGAAATGTCTTCCTTAATGTTTAAAAATGTAATTTTAATTTGATTGTATTAGCACTTTGGGGTGTTTCTGTGCGTGTAATAGAGGTGTTTCTGTGCGTGCAATAGAGGTGTTTCTGTGCGTAGAGGTGTTTCTGTGCGTGCAATAGAGGTGTTTCTGTGCGTAGAGGTGTTTCTGTGTGTGCAATAGAGGTGTTTCTGTGTGTATAATAGAGGTGTTTCTGTGCTTGCAATAGAGGTGTTTCTGTGCGTGCAATAGAGGTGTTTCTGTGTGTGCAATAGAGGTGTTTCTGTGTGTATAATAGAGGTGTTTCTGTGCTTGCAATAGAGGTGTTTCTGTGCGTGCAATAGAGGTGTTTCTGTGTGTGCAATAGAGGTGTTTCTGTGTGTGCAATAGAGGTGTTTCTGTGCGTGCGATAGGGGTGTTTCTGTGCGTGCAATAGAGGTGTTTCTGTGCGTGCGATAGGGGTGTTTCTGTGCGTGCAATAGAGGTGTTTCTGTGCGTGCAATTGAGGTGTTTCTGTGCGTGCAATAGGGGTGTTTCTGTGCGTGCAATAGGGGTGTTTCTGTGCGTGCAATAGGGGTGTTTCTGTGCGTGCAATAGGGGTGTTTCTGTGCGTGCAATAGGGGTGTTTCTGTGCGTGCAATAGGGGTGTTTCTGTGCGTGCAATAGGGGTGTTTCTGTGCGTGCAATAGGGGTGTTTCTGTGCGTGCAATAGGGGTGTTTCTGTGCGTGCAATAGGGGTGTTTCTGTGCGTGCAATAGGGGTGTTTCTGGAGGTGTCTGACAGGCAGTGGCGTAGGCAGGGGGGGTTAGGGGGGGGTCATAACCCCCCCCCATAGACCCCTCGGTATATATAAAAAGTATGAGGGGGGGTGCAAATCGAAAGTTTGAGGGGGGGGGTGCAAATCGAAAGTTTGAGGGGGGGTGCAAATCGAAAGTTTGAGGGGGGGGGGGGGTGCAAATCGAAAGTTTGAGGGGGGGGGGTGCAAAATCGAAAGTTTGTCCCCGGGTAAAAATTGGAACCCCCCCCCCTTGAGACGATCCTGGCTACGCCACTGCTGACAGGTGTGTCACATGTACACATGTGTGTGTGTGTGTGGGGGGGGGGGGGTGGGGGGGTGAGGAGGGGATGATGTACCTAAAGCAAAGGGTGAGGTAATCATTAAGTATAATCTTTATTCACACAAGTGTGTGATCATCTTTATTCACACAAGAGTGTAATGGCTTATGATCTTATGCTGGCTTGTCCTGGCATAAACATATATCTGTGTATGTGTTCGTTATGCTGAGGTTATCTCCCCTCCGCTGTCTATCATTACGGATATTGGCTCATCTGTCTGCAGCTGTCAGTCTAGGGCATCTCCTTATATGGGCATATCGTCAGGCATCAATCACAATAAAACTTGATCAGACTTTATCGATTCCATAAAACTTGATCAGACTTTATCGATTCCATAAAGCTTGATCAGACTTTATCGATTCCATAAAACTTGATCAGACTTGATCGATTCCATAAAACTTGATCAGACTTTATCGATTCCATAAAACTTGATCAGACTTTATCGATTTCATAAAACTTGATCAGACTTTATCGATTCCTTAAAACTTGATCAGACTTTATCGATTACATAAAACTTGATCAAACTGTATCGATTCCATAAAATTTCATCAGACTTTATCGATTCCATAAAACTTGATCAGACTTTATCGATTCCATAAAACTTGATCAGACTTTATCGATTCCATAAAACTTGATCAGACTTTATCGATTCCATAAAACTTGATCAGACTTTATCGATTCCATAAAACTTGATCAGACTTTATCGATTCCATAAAAATTGATCAGACTTTATCGATTCCATAAAACTTGATCAGACTTTATCGATTCCTTAAAACTTGATCAGACTTTATCGATTCCATAAAACTTGATCAAACTTTATCGATTCCATAAAATTTCATCAGACTTTATCGATTCCATAAAACTTGATCAGACTTTATAAGCTCAATAAAAATTGATCAGATTTGATTCACTTGATAAAGCTTACGATTAATTTAAAAAATATTTTCCTAATACAGCGGAGGAAATAAAAACGACCGTATCATTATTTAAAAACCTAGCTATTTAAAAAAGACAACTGTTTCGTCTAGTCTGAAGTCTATTCTATCTAGTTTCGTCTAGAGTCTAGTCTGAAGTCTATTCTATCTAGTTTCGTCTAGAGTCTAGTCTGGAGTCTATTCTATCTAGTTTCGTCTAGAGTCTAGTCTGAAGTCTATTCTATCTAGTTTCGTCTAGAGTCTAGTCTGAAGTCTATTCTAGTTTAGTTTCGTCTAGAGTCTAGTCTGAAGTCTATTCTATCTAGTTTCGTCTAGAGTCTAGTCTGAAGTCTATTCTATCTAGTTTCGTCTAGAGTCTAGTCTGAAGTCTATTCTATCTAGTTTCGTCTAGAGTCTAGTCTGAAGTCTATTCTATCTAGTTTCGTCTAGAGTCTAGTCTGAAGTCTATTCAAGTCTAGTTTCGTCTAGAGTCTAGTCTGAAGTCTATTCTAGTCTAGTTTCGTCTAGTTATAAAACCATTCTTGCTTATAACATCCGTCTAAACCTACACACGTTTAAAATGTCAAATGCTGATTCTAAAAGTTTTCCCTTCTGAAACTGCATTTAAAATAAATAAAAAATTGCCCTGATGATTTCCTTCGGCTCACGCTATATGTTTATTTTATCTTTAAATCTCCTCATAAAAATACAACTTCCCGTTGATTGAACATCTCCTATTTCAACAGATAAACATAAGGTTGATTATTATTGGCCTAACACCAATGTTGTTACCTGTCCGTTGATATACAGGTGATATTTATTGCTTTCAATTGGAACAACGCTAAGCATGTTCTTACATCAGAGGATACAATGACGTCTTGCTAGCCACTATTTTGACGTCTTGCCTAGCCACTGTTATCACGTCTTGCCTAGCCACTAGATTGACGTCTTGCTAGCCACTATTATGACGTCTTGCCTAGCTACTAGATTGACGTATTGTCTAGCCACTATTCTGTGTATTGCCTAGCCACCTGAATGCCTACTTGCCTAGCCACCTGAATGCCTACTTGCCTAGCCACCTGAATGCCTACTTGCCTAGCCACCTGAATGCCTACTTGCCTAGCCACCTGAATGCCTACTTGCCTAGCCACCTGAATGCCTACTTGCCTAGCCACCTGAATGCCTACTTGCCTAGCCACCTGAATGCCTACTTGCCTAGCCACCTGAATGCCTACTTGCCTACTTACTTTGCCAAGATCCTGTTGGGCGGCTCTGTGTTCTCCCTCTGAAGTTCTTCTTCCAGCTCGTGCTCGATCTTCTCCACGTACCCATGGGTCTTGGCTAGCACTAGAGTCTCGGCTACCAGGGTCTGAAACAGGGAAACAACAGGGTTAGTCAGTGAAACAGTGAAACAACATGGGTCTTGGCTAGCACTAGAGTCTCGGCTACCAGGGTCTGAAACAAGGAAACAGCAAGGTTAGTCAGTGAAACAACATGGGTCTTGGCTAGCACTAGAGTCTCGGCTACCAGGGTCTGAAACAGGGAAACAGCAGGGTTAGTCAGTGAAACAACATGGGTCTTGGCTAGCACTAGAGTCTCGGCTACCAGGGTCTGAAACAAGGAAACAGCAGGGTTAGTCAGTGAAACAACATGGGTCTTGGCCAGCACTAGAGTCTCGGCTACCAGGGTCTGAAACAGGGAAACAGCAGGGTTAGTCAGTGAAACAACATGGGTCTTGGCTAGCACTAGAGTCTCGGCTACCAGGGTCTGAAACAGGGAAACAGCAGGGTTAGTCAGTGAAACAGTGAAACAACATGGGTCTTGGCTAGCACTAGAGTCTCGGCTACCAGGGTCTGAAACAGGGAAACAACATGGTTAGTCAGGGAAACAACATGGGTCTTGGCTAGCACTAGAGTCTCGGCTACCAGGGTCTGAAACAGGGAAACAGAAGAGGGTTAGTCAGTGAAACAACATGGGTCTTGGCTAGCACTAGAGTCTCGGCTACCAGGGTCTGAAACAGGGAAACAGAAGAGGGTTAGTCAGTGAAACAACATGGGTCTTGGCTAGCACTAGAGTCTCAGCTACCAGGGTCTGAAACAAGGAAACAGCAGGGTTAGTCAGTGAAACAACATGGGTCTTGGCTAGCACTAGAGTCTCGGCTACCAGGGTCTGAAACAGGGAAACAGCAGGGTTAGTCAGTGAAACAACATGGGTCTTGGCTAGCACTAGAGTCTCGGCTACCAGGGTCTGAAACAGGGAAACAGCAGGGTTAGTCAGTGAAACAACATGGGTCTTGGCTAGCACTAGAGTCTCGGCTACCAGGGTCTGAAACAGGGAAACAATAGTCAGTGAAACAACATGGGTCTTGGCCAGCACTAGAGTCTCGGCTACCAGGGTCTGAAACAGGGAAACAGCAAGGTTAGTCAGTGAAACAACATGGGTCTTGGCTAGCACTAGAGTCTCGGGGAAACTGCATTAGATCGAGGTTGAAACAGAGAAACAGCTTTAGATCGAGGCTGAAACAAGGAAACAGCACTAAACAACCCCGGAAAATCCTCGTTAATCCTTGCAACATATTGCTAATATACTAGGAAAATAAAATATTAGGAATATACACGTTAAATGCTAACAAGACAGCGAGCTTTGTTTACCATAAATCTTTGACGAGCTGAAGTAATTAAAATATCGTGGCACTGTTAGCCCCGAACCATACGAAGAAATACAATATGCTGATGTTAAATCTAATGTAACGAAATTGCGCAACAGCCTGATGGTTTTAATTAAGGTAACCTGGAGTTAGTGTTGGGTTTAGTCCAAGTAAATCAAGCGTTCAGCCGCAACCAGCAAACTAAACCGTGGGGGGGGGGGGGGTGTCAGCAAATCCTGACTTCGTGCGTCACTGACAACCTCACCAACAACTTTCTACAACAACCCTGACACCAACAACTTTCTACACCACCCTGACACCAACAACTTTCTACACCAACCCTGACAACCTCACCACCAACCCTGACAACCTCACCAACCATAGTTATTTACTCACCACCACCAACGACAACAGGAGAAATAAAATATTTTTCTTCTGGAGGCTGATCTTTATTGGAGATGGATGGAATGGTGGGTTAACCGGGTAATTAACCGTGAGAAAATGGTACACAAATATTTCTTACAGTTGAGGTGGGGTGGGGGGGGTGGGGGGTCAGATTAGGCCTAAGCCAGTCCTGGTGCAGGCAATTCTAACGGAAATGTCAGTTTTATGACGCAACCTTCCTTTGAGTGAGTTTTATGATGCAGTAATTTGGTAAATATTGTTTTATTTTTTCTACTCTCATACATAAATAAGATACTTTTTTTACGCAAGTATGCAATGTTTTTCTACACAAATAGGCAATGTTTCCCTACACAAATAGGCAATGTTTCCCTACACAAATAGGCAATGTTTCCCTACACAAATAGGCAATGTTTCCCTACACAAATAGGCAATGTTTCCCTACACAAATAGGCAATGTTTCCCTACACAAATAGGCAATGTTTCTTTCCATACACAAATAGGCAATGTTTCCCTACACAAGTAGGCAATGTTTCCCTACACAAATAGGCAATGTTTCCCTACACAAATAGGCAATGTTTCCATACACAAATAGGCAATGTTTCCCTACACAAATAGGCAATGTTTCCCTACACAAATATGCAATGTTTCCTTACACAAATAGGCAATGTTTCTCTACACAAATAGGCTATGTTTCCCAAGACAAATAGGCAAATATTACCAAAAAAATGGCTAAATATTTACATTTGACTAAGAAAATTCTTTTAAATAGTAAAATAAGGTGTTTGGCCACAAAGTTCAAAAAAGACACATCATAGTAGAAACAGAACAGGTAGTGTTAGTGTCTTCGGTAGTTAAAGACATTTAAAGCAGTGTTTCATCCAGGGGCACTTGAAATATATTTTTTGTGGGGGGGGGGGGGGGGGGGGGGGGGCGCGGACTAAACATTCCGGGTGGATGGACACTGGTAAAAGTATATATTTTCTATATAAATTTCATTCGGAAGATGCCTGGTAGAAACTCTGATTTAGATGTGGAGTGGGCGTCTCGACCCAGGACTTTTCGTCAACACACATCATTGTGTTTAAAGAAAACACACAACACTGTGTTTAAAGTAAACACACAACACGGTGTTTAAAGTAAACACACAACACGGTGTTTAAAGAAAACACACAACACCGTGTTTAAAGAAAACACACAACACTGTGTTAAAAGAAAACTCAAAAAAGACCTGACCACACCAAATCTTCCCGTCTGCATCGGTCACTGACGGGAAGCAGACGATAAAAGTCTGTCACAGCTGTGATGTCACCGTGACATCCGGTGTGACGCGGGCAGGACGAATGACGTCATACCCTGGAGCTGTAAACAAAATTTTATGGAAATCTGGTGGTGACGTCAAGGGCATTGACCTCACTTCGTCTCGTGAATAACCCACTGACGTCGGCATGCGAAAATAGAATTCCAAAGGCTTCATATCTTGAGCTTGGTAATACACGGTAGGTAGGCGCTTACATAGGCGTTATTTACAGCCGCTTAGAGAGGCTTCACATACAGTGGCTTACATAGGCGTTACATACAGTCGCTTACATAGGTATTGCATACAGCCGCTTACATAGACGTTATACAATAGGTGATAAACATAGTTGGTGACACCTAGACCACGGACCTAAACGTGGCCACCCAAACTGGCCACACCTAGACATGGCCACCCCTACTGGCCACACCCAGACGTGGCCACTCAAACTGGCCACACCCAGACGTGGCCACCCAAACTGACCAGACCTAGACGTGGCCACCCAAACTGACCAGACCTAGACGTGGCCACCCAAACTGGCCACACCTAGACGTGGCCACCCAAACTGGCCACACCAAGACATGGCCAGACACCAGTGGTGTGGTAACTATAACACCCCCCAGTAAAAATTTCCCAGAATTCCATCAAGCTTACCTCTTCAGACCCAGACAGACAGGAATAATAATGACGGGGTAGCGGGTACTAAAACTTGGGTGTGGGGCCAAGGTCAGCTAGGGTCAAGGTCGGCATATTGGGCTTTTCTCCTCTTAACAAAAGCGTCAACGGTCAAGGTGTCAGGGTGTTAGGGTGTAAGCGGGCCATTATGTAAACATTGAACGTGTTCGGGCGTTAAACAAATCTCACCACAACGTGTCTCTGACGCAGGAGTGATGGCCGCTGTTTCCTGACACCCAATGTTTGATGTGGCTGATTAGCTCAATGTCAGGTACAACATAACACTGTCTGTTGTCATCAGATACACCATAACACTGTCTGTTGTCATCAGATACACCATAACACTGTCTGTTGTCATCAGATACACCATAACACTGTCTGTTGTCATCAGAAATTGGTGCAGTGGTCTACTTGCTGATCTCTGAGGATCTAGCGCGCCATCTTAGTAACACGTACACTTTTAGTTAACACATGGTTGATGTACCGTCAACATACTCTCAACACAGCATACACTACACACACTCTCAACACTAAATACACTACACACACACTCAACACACCATACACTACACACCCACTCAACACACAATACACTACACACACACTCAACACACCATACACTACACACACACTCAACACACCATACACTACACACCCACTCAACACACAATACACTACACACACACTCAACACACCATACACTACACACCCACTCAACACACAATACACTACACACACACTCAACACACCATACACTACACACCCACTCAACACACCATACACTACACACCCACTCAACACACCATACACTACACACCCACAAAACAACATACACTACACACACCCTCAACACACCATACGCAACACACCCTACCCAGCAAACACATCAATGATTTCACCCCACATACACTATACACGAGTACATAAGACAAGTGTATGACCTTGTAAAACATTTGTTTAAGATGGCATGATAGATGACATGACATATGTCAAGACAGTTTATATTTATACACACAACCAGTAGCGTCAAATGTCAACACTACCGTCAGACAGTCATAGACAGCAGATAATGACGTCAGACATATTAAGTCATTAGCTGAGGAATCTCTGTGTACTTGATGCACCAGTCAATACACAACTGTTGTGTGGAATACAGCAACTAGGGTTGCTCTCAGTTCAGGTTTTCAGTGTGACGTCACGGGTTGCTCTCAGTGCAGGTTGCCAGTGTGACGTCACGGGTTGGTTTCAACGAGGGCTGGTTGCGTGACGTCCAAGGTAAACTTGTGTGCTGGTCCGTAGTACAACAGTCGTAGTTGCTTATGTTGTATTAAAGGAATGACGTTAATTT